GTGAGCCGAGAAGGGGGAAATACTGTGTGTATATCTGGAATGGAGCCTCTAGTGAATCTGCACAGTATGGCTAATGGAGGAATGACTGGACAGATGGTTGAAGATGTATATTGTAGTCATTGTAATTTAATTCACACTTAGTTTGGTAAACTTCACTTATGCCTTTCCTCAGTTCAGAAATTGAAATGGGACCGTTAAGCCTGATAATTTCAGCAATCTGGTACACCACAAGTAAACATGAATGGTGCTTGAAAGACTTCATGTATAAAATGAATTATTTCTGTCAAAGCAAACAATTTTAAAGATAATTAATTAATTAATTCCTTTTTGGATGTAACCACATAGTGTAGTGTAGTTTTGCACCACACATTTTCATGATTTGGTCTGTTTTTCAAGTGCAGAGGTGGGTTGAAGGTTCAGTGTCTTGACATAAAGTCTTTGGGTTTTTAAAGTGATCAAATTTAAAATGGGGGTATGAAGCACCTTTTGCTTATGTTACTGGCACCGTGTTAGTGCTGGCTGGAAATGCCACTCTCATCCAAAGCTTGCAAAATTCAAACTGTACATTTCGGTCTCAGAGATCAACAAGCATCTTTTATTCTACAACTTTTGCATTCAACACTTCAGAGACAAACATTATGGCAACAATAACAAGGCATAATATAGCAGATCTAACTGGATGATAGTGAGTGTTCTCCATGGATTTGACCACTTAGCCATTCAGCAAGTCCTGTGCTGAAGACAAAGCAAGCAGGCTAATGAACCACTCTGAACCCGGTGCCCTAATAAATAAACTATGCACACATTCATGCATACTGTGGTTATACTTATGACACACACACATTACCACAGACAGTCAGGCCCGTTTGTGGGTGTACCAGTGCAGTATGACCGCATGATAAATGAAGGTTGTAAAGAAGCTTTGGGAGATAAATCCAAAGCACAGCTGTGCTCTGTAAAACACACAGACACACACAGACACACACACTGAGCTGCACTACAGCCACATGATCAGTACATAGTTGGATTTCATGGGTTTATTACTTATTTTTAACATTCTGATTAAAAAAGTGAGTCATTCAATTGCAATTTAATCTTAGTATGATTTGCTTTTATTATTACATTCTCAAATATATTAAACCTTACACAAGCATCAACAGAAAATGATAGCACAACTAACTTTTAAATTACTATATAGATTTTTAAAAAATTAAAATCATCATGGAATGTATACGCAGTACAGTTCACAATGTTTTTGTGATGAAACAGCTTCATTCTGGTAGTGGAGGCGACCCCGCAAAACCTCTGTGTTACAGGCCACTGACTTTACCTACTGACCAACTGTCACACTGACACAGTAGCTCGCAGGGCTTTGCTGTTGTGTTTCTCACTGCAGGGTTGACCCATGTTCACCTCTAACACACCCACACCCTCCACCCTCCCTCTAACACACCCACACCCTCCACCCTCCCTTAGCAGCACTAATTAGCTTAGCACAATAACCCAACGGCACACCAGGCTCCAGGATTTGTGCTCTGACCTCAAACATTTCCCCCATTTCTGTCCTAATGAAACTGCACACAGAGCGACAAATTTACATAATACAGGTATAATAAACAGCTTTAAGTGCTGTGCATGCAGAAGTCTGCGCTTTGCTCTCACTCACTCATGTCCAAGGTAGGAGGCAGTAAATTATATTTATTCTCTATGTTTATAATAATGTTTTCTGAAAAACCAAACATAATTTTATTTAGCTAAACTTTGTCCTTTCTATCTTGTTACCTATCGTCATCCCCTTAGAGCAATCTTGTGGTCTCATAGAGCTCCAGAGCTCAAGTTGTGAACTGCTTCCATAAAACATGTACATCTCCACTATACACAAGATAAAAAAAGACTCATAGTCATCATATATAACAGTGGCTTTTAAACATTTATGAACCATGGGACCACTTCATACTGATATATTTTTATGGGACCACCAAATGCCCACAGATAGCGACACAACACCTATTCACATGCAGCCGTTCCAGGTAAAAATGCGTAATGAATATTTGTTGTTTAGCAAAATACATAAACTAACATCACTATTGAGTGAAATGCTGTTGTATGTAGCCTTCTGTATCTGTCTGTGTAAAAGTAGTGCCATGGCATTGCTCATGCCCCTCACATCTAGGCCACATACCCTTTCACACAAAGATGATGACTGTTTACTCTGAGCATATGATGGGAGTGATCTGACAGTCTCTTACCGAATGAGATCCAGCAGAGCATCAGCAGAACTGGTCATCGGCTTCTTGCTGTCCTCAGAGTCCTCTTTCTGAGCAGCTCCTCCCGGGTGGATGATGTACACCATGATGATGCCCACTATCACAGCAACAAATGTGGTCCAGAGGTAGTAGGAGATGGTCATGATGCCCAGGCGGCTGGAGCACTTGGCATCCAGCGCAGCCAGACCTGACATCAAGCTGAAGTATGGAGAAGGAGTGGGGTCACACAAAGAATGAAACAGCCAGGAGAAAAAGAGTCAGAGATTCCCAAGGTTGGATGTAACTTTACAATTCTTGTCCATCTGAGACACAGAGTATTTTGCTTTGTAAATGTTTGTATGAACCAATAAGAGGTCTCCACTAGAGTGTCACAAATTACTGACTTTTAAATGACTCCAAACAAAACTGATGATTACAGTGAGACACCAGAACTAAGTTCAGTACTCATCACACATTATGTGCATGTACAATCAATCCTGACATTAAAACTTCAGTTGTGCATCTGATGGCACAGTTTTGACATGATTATACTTCTCAAGTCTTTATTTATTAATACGACACCACCTGTGGTGCCTGAGATAAGATGTGTGACACCGAGAAAACCTTTTATGTGACAAAGAGAAGAACGCATCAAAGTGAATGACTTTATTCCCCAAGTCTGTCTGTTTTCATCTCCTTGTCAATTGTTCCTCATCTTTTACTCTAGAAATGTGAAAGCCTGGTGGAGGGAGATAAACAACTGTAATCAAAAACATTCAAATCATAAAAGCGTAATTTGCATTTAAATGGGCAGCTTTGTCTAGTGCATGTGTTCAGATATTCATTTTCACTCAAGCACTCATTCAGCATTGTTTGTTTGCTGACCAGCTGGTATAGAAAAATGTTGTTTTTTTTAATAAAACCATTGTGTAGGAAGATGCTGGAATAGTGAATAGCGAGGGTGAAGCCAGTGAAAGTAGAAAAGGAAAGAGAGAGATCTTCACTCTGAGCTAGAGTGACAAGATTGTCTCCCCGTCTAAAGTGTAATCTGGTTTGATTTGTCAAGCATTTGGATGCAGCTGTCTTTCTGAGCAGTGCATGCTCAACTTCATCCTGCCATCCTGCCTGTTATCAGGTCTAAACTGCACGCCACAGAAACTCCATTTCCTGTGTGAGCATACGCTCACATAGGGTCTGTTCAGGGCATAAAGCGTAAACTGTTCTTTTTTTTTTTTAAGGCAATCTGTGACACTATTTTGAAAGGTGCGTGTGTATTTGATGGTAAACAAATCATTTATCCATAACAGAATGTGCTAAACCATCAGAAGGAAAACATCTGCATGAACAGGGACTAAGGACTTCATTTAAAAAAGATCAATTTAGCACAGGATTAAGTGTTTTCAATTGCCTGCAGCCACATCGTATTTTCACAGCTACAAAAACGACTCACTGTTGATATATTCGCACAGAATATAAAGCCAAATTTGGTTTGGACTTGTAATATCAGTTAAACAACAATATAACGCAATATTATTACACCTAACATAATCTAGTGTGAGCCAGTGGTCAAAGCAGACTAAATAAGGCTGCATATGTTACTTTATTTCTAAACAAACTGAGCTTCAGCAGTGCTGCTGGATGGTCATCTGCTTCCAGTCTTTATGTTAAGTTAAACTAGCCTCCTGGCTTTACCTTTGTTTTTAATGAGCAAACATGAAAGTGGTCTTGAACTTTTGCTCTTACTAAGAAAACTAATAAACATATTTCATTTGTTTTCTTGAAGCTGCTGGAGTTGCCACTGAAGTGTCTACATGCACCCTGGGTAGCTCTGTGGTGGGAATGTGCCACTATTCATATTCAAATCCATAAAATTTAACATGTGAATGTTTAATCTAATTATAATTGCCTTCTTCCCCCAGGCCATTGCACTTATAAACAGTTAGTCTATGTTTTGATCTTTTAACTTATTCATATTCTGTATTTATTGTCGTGCACATCGGGGGCCATTGGGCTCGAGTCATATTCCTTGTGTTTTTGATAATACTTGGCAATAAAGTTTATGTTTATGCTTCAACAATTGCTGCACCTGAAGAAACTACATTACTGAAGTACTGTTTTTATTGAATAACTTTCAAACTACTATCAATGTGATTCCAACTGCTAGTGTTAGGTTTTTATAGTCGTTGAATCATATTATGTCATGGGAATGGTGCTCTTAGGTGTAGGCCTAATGGCATTATGAGGGCAGCGAACTGCTTTGGTGGAGATTTGCACTCATGGAGTGCTGTCTAGTTTTGTGCTACAGTTCTTTAAGAAACCAGGACAATATCATAATAATATCACAGTCAAATGTATTTTTGATGGGTATTACCCTTTAACCTTTTAGACCTATCTTAGGTTTTTGATACTGTATGTCTTATGAGATGGAAGCATCTATGATATTGATATAAATTACAAAATAAAATACTAAAACTGAACTAATTGTAATGCAAAATATGAAGAATTTTGCTTATTTGCCAGCCCATTTATAAATTTCATTAAAACGAGGCCAAATCAGTTGCTGAGTGATTAATAGGTTCTTTATACCGACTTCAGGTAGATAAACACTCTTGGTAATTTTGTGTTCTGTATTTTATTCCCTGTGTTGGATAAAGGAAGCTGAAGGTGAAGAAGGAAATTAATAGACTACTAATAAGAGTGTTTTGTTTTGAATCACACCCACTGACAAATGGAAAACATGACGCCTCTGTTGGAGCTGACAACCAGGCAAAGAAGGTAAACTTCTTCCTGTAATACAGAATTAGGTTACACCTTCTGCCAGATATTTCACTGGTGTCTAATACAATGTGGATTGGTTTGTTCATTAATGCCTTGTAAAATAATAAAATGGAGCACACTGTGTGAAAAACTTAATACGTGGCCAGCGACATCCAAACATTTTCAAAACATTTTCATCCAAACTGCATTAACTGAGATTTTACACATTGTGTGTTAAATCAAGTGAAAATGGGACAGGGCATGGTGTCTCTCAGCTTTACTAACCCCACTCTGCTGCTCCTCTGTCCCTATTCCAGCTTCTCTACACTGCATTGTCAAAGTATGGTCTGTAAATTTGCATCGCCTGCACCTTAGCAAAGGTTAATAGAAGCATTTTTGAACTTCAAGTAGTCATTGCAGCCAAGCAGCTGTGGAGGAGCTCTTGGCAGCTGAAAGTCTGAAACAGTGGCTACCAGACTGAAGATGGTAAGTGTTCTTACACTTATGTAGCACCTTTCTATCCAAAGAAGCACAATGGCAGCGCTTTAGCTCATACGCACACAAATGTTGTGTCACTGGGGACAACTTGAAGTTCAGTGTCTTGACAAAGACATTTCGACATGTTAGTAACACATCACAGCTCATGTCCCTTTGCACACAGAAAGATGGACAAAGAATGAGCAAAAACTAGGATTCACGTTGATTTGGCTTTTTGAGCTGGAGAGCGCTCAAAGCAGCCACAGAACCCAAACTTGAATCAGATGTGGTGCTCTTCCTTCTGGATGCATCTAAAGCTGGCATGTTTGTTTTGGCTACATTATCAACCGAGCATGGTCACAATTTTACCTTGAATTAACATGAATTTAATTCCAGATTAATTTGATCTTTGTGTTACGTTAGCAGTAACCAGCGTGCTCTACTGGATTGCCAGATTCACTCAGTCCTCAGTGAACACTAGCTTTGAACTGGAGGGTGCATTTTGCAGGCTACAGTTTGTCGCAGCCATTCTTTGGAGGATGCGATAGAAGGGGTGAAGTGTATTTAGGAGTGGGTTTTAGTGTGAGTTTGTTTTGAATCACACTCATGGATTTATTAAAGAGAACTGAATACTGGATTACAAGATGGCACCAGTCCTTCCCACTTAAAGTTGCGTACCTGGTGCATATGCCAGTTTTTTTCTCCTCAGTATTGTCGGGCCCACTGCACATATATTCCAATATTTACTCTCTTTTTTGGTGTCTACCAGTATTTGATAGAAATATACATATCTGTAGATGCTAATGTGCTCCACTCTGTTCACCAGCTAGTTGCTAACTTTGTCTTTGTGTTGGGTGATAATTCTTTGTGGAACATCACTACAAAACCCCCTTTCACATACGTGTTCATTATAGCAGCTTTATAATTAAGCCATGTCTTTTTGTGACCAATCGTCACATGTATGAAATTATGACTAAAAATGGAGTCACAGACAATGCCATGTTTCTACCTTAGTTTTTTTGGGGACCCCTTGATGGGTCTGGGACCCTGGTTGGAAACCAGTAGTGATAACTTTGTGCATGTTAAAGAATAAGGCTGTAACGTGAAAGTTATGGAGGATATACATTATGAGGGATACTGCATTAGAAATAATATTTATGTTCATGAAGATCGCTGCCCTCCTCTCTTCTCTGGTATCCGAATCAAAGGTGGATCACAGTGCATTGCCTATTTGTAGCTGACTCGACTGTGATGTCTCGAGCACACATACAGTAGATCTGGTACATGATTTCTGGACCATATGGTTCTTACCGTCCTGCCTGTTGCACCTTTGCAGGGCAAGACCATTAGAGTAATCCCATGTCCAGATGAAAAAGACAAGGCCAGGGTGTCCTCAGAGAAGGTTTAGCCATGACCTCCATGGCATGTAATAGTGACTCTGTGGCCTTTGGGCTCAGATCAATACAGGTATTGATGTTTTACTTAATGGCAACTGCAGTTCCAGGATTATTTCTAGATATTTTTAGACTATTTCTAGGCACGTCACACTCTAACAATTGTTTCATAAATCATCACACAGCAGGTGTGCCAGCTGCTTCTGGCCATCAATCAAAGGGTCTGAGGTGGAGAGGGCTGACAGCCACAAGTTCCTGCGCCTGCAGGTGACACCTGACCTGAGCTGGACACGGAACACAGCTGCCACAGTGAAGAAAGCCCAGCAGTGGCGATACTTCATCAGGTGGCTCAGAAAAGCTGGGTTGAACCGTTGCCTTCTCACCCAGGCTTATAGAGGACTGATAGAGAGCATCCTCACTACTGGCATCACAGTCTGGTATGGTAACACCACACAGGCAGAGAGGAAGGCTCTTCAAAGGGTCATAAAGGCTGCAGAGAGGATCACTGGGACTGAACTGCCTGCTATGGACACACTGTACACACAGCACCATCGCAAAAGGGCAGAGAACATACTCAGGGATCCACGCCACCCAGCTCACACTCTGCTCAGACACAAAAACTGCACCTTCAGCCTCAGGCACAGCAGGGTGGACAGTATCATCACACACAGAATAAGACTTTACAACAGCTTTTTCCCTGCTGAAGTAAGACTGATGGCAAATACAAAAATGTGAGAAATGTGAGAATATATATGTGCAATAACGCCTTACTAGACATGCACAATAATAATACAGAAATGTTCCACAAGGTATGTTTGTAAGAGCATCCCATGAACAGTGTTCTTCTGGGGGACCTGAATAATAGCAGGAGATTCTCTACCAAGAAATGGAAACAGGCCTGAATATAAACTGTGTTTTAGTATGTTATAACCCCTCACTACCTCACCAAGCGTAATGACATATCCATGTGAATCACTAAGTGCGATGTTTGAGGTTCACTGGGGAAAATATTATCATCCTATTTTTGTGTATTGCGACTTTAGTGCTTTGTTGCCTTTATGTAACTTTTTTATTTTAAGACTAAGTGTTCTTTCTGGCTTTGGACTCCTTACCTGACTCCATAGAAGAGCTGCACAAGAATTCCTATATGCCTAGACTGTCTGTTTATGCATAAATGGCAAATAAAATTTTTGACTTGACTTGACTTGAGGTGTAAAAAGCCAAATGATATATACGGTATTAGGAATCCAGAACATTTCAATTATCTTGACACAACATGAAAAAAATTATAAAAATATACTGGCTAGGAAATAATGGGTCCTTCCTTTTTCTATTAACTTTGCCTTCAAGGTCTTTTCAAATCAATTCTCTACCAGTCCTTGAGACAAAACAACCATGAGGTGTGCTAATATACCAAAAATCTCTCACTATGTTATTGAACATCCACATTTGGAATTTGCTTGCCTGGAAGCTCTTTTCAGCTTTGCTTAGAAAAAAATCCTGAGCACTAAATCAGAAATTATAGTTTAAGGATTTTATAAATTGATAAATTAATAATTTTTCTGATTACTCTGGGGCTGTTGTGGTTGTTTGTTTTGTCAAAGACCAGCATGGTTAACATGGCTTGGTATCAGCCTACAACATTATTTTGCTGGTCAGAATAACTTATAATTTATTTAATTTAATAATTTATTTCACCCCAGACATGAGCTAATTCTCTAGCCGAGGCATTTCCATTGAAAGGAGCATTAACTAAGATTTTTCATCCTGTGTGATAAATCAAGTGAAAATGGGACAGGACCTAGCTGTAAGACCCCCCTCCATGACAGGCTGTAACCTACAGTGTTTGTATTGTTATCCCAGCTTTTTGAAAATGAGTTTTCATAATCAGGCCCATAAATTAGCTACGCCTGCTTCCCAGAAAAGGATATGAAAAGTAGTCATTCCAAACATATGGCCATGGAGGAGCTGTCAGCTCCAGACTGTACTCAGTAGATGATTAGACATTGTTTATGAAGGGGATTACTTGAATAATTATCTTAAATTTTTTTTTTTATGAACTGTAACCCCCTTGTGGTGTTTGACTACAAGCAAAACAAATTAGACTGCATCAAGCAAGAGAGAAACACGCATCGTAACCTGCACAATTGCAATGTGAATTCATTTCCATCACAATGTGACTTGATGAGCATGCTATCAAACCCACTCAGTCACACTGACATCCAGGGACAAGCATACACAGACTTAAATTTGAACCTATAATCAGCTATTTACACGCTACTCATGTGTACATTAGTTCCGTCTCAAGCTGCTGCTCATTTTGTCTCTAGTTTCTTCTCCAGTCTAAAGAAATATTCACTTTGGATAATTTGGCTACCGAACCTCCCTGGGTAATTGATCATCCTAGACAGGAAAGCAGCAACAAGTACAGTCTCACTGTGAAGTGAAATTACAAAACACAAAAAATATGACTAACACATCTTCATCCACAGGTGCAGTTTTACTCTGAAATCCAAACACAGTTGGAATAATACGAAAACAGATCAGATGAAATACATGCTCCTCCAAGAAGAACAAAGTAGACTTATGTGTTTAAAATACACAAAGAAAGTTTTTATCTTCAGGAGATGTGCAAAACATTTAGGGTTGTCGATCTAGTTTTTGCATTTAGGTTTGTTTATAAGAATATGAAAATTAATAATTCATTTAGACTTAGTTTCCAGCTTTAAACAAAGCATACATCCATACTTATATCCAATCTACAGGACAAACCCACTCAGATCTATTTTTACTCATCTTCTATACCAATTATTTCTTCTTCACTGTGTGTAAGCGAGCAATCAGTTTTAAGCTGCACATAGACTGAGAACAAATTACTAATATGCAAAGACAGAATGAAATACAGTGCAAGTGACAGAAATAGGTGCTCACATCAGGGCACTTCATTGTGAAAAGACTGATTTACACCTGTCTGCAAGATTTCACACAGATGCACACGCAATGCTAAGTGCACTGAGTGTGGTTGAGATCAGCCAAATGTTTGTGCGGATGCTGCATATTATTAAAACTCCTCTTCACCTTTGAACTTTAGATCCCACTGGTGAATTATAGCATCTAAGGGCTTTATCAAAACCGTTAATATAAACCACGAACCAACTGAGTAAACATTTTAATTTTTACAATATAATTATAATCCTGCAAATAAAAGAAACATGGAGCATAAGGAGGCAGTGGCCATTGATTCAGCATAAAGAGTTTGTGGGATAATCTGGTTTCCGCTCTGACTGGTACACAGATGGTGCTGGGAGGAGGGAAAATAATAATGGGGACAGGCTGGGGCAGATAAGTTCCACTGTACCATGCACTACGTCAACCAGCTGGTCTGTACATCCCAGTCTAGACACACTCTGCCATCATCAGAGGGCATGGCAGGAGAGAGTGAGAGAGAAACAGGATATCTACTATGACTGTGTTTGTGTCTGAGGCTGGATTGGCTGTGCATGTCTGCAGAGGGTTGCAAAGACATTCAGCAAATCATCTGCGAGTGGATGGAAGCAGGTGGACAGTGATTAGCCCAAACACAGCAGCTGTGAATTAACTAGCCATGCCTTCCACCTTCACTATATATTATTGGCTCCAATGAGTTGCAGACAGGCACCAGGAATATTGAGAGTGTTGCAGAGTCAACAGCAGCTCCAGCAGCCTGAGCCCATACTCAGAGTCTTGAATGTTTGCCCTGATTGCTTTTGCATTCCCATGTGCTGAAGTGGTTTGTTGAACTTAGTTGCATTTGGCCTCCTGCCTGCCTGCCCTGGTTCAGATTAGATGTAACATGTCTTGCCCTTCACGTGCCTCACATTTGGCAGGAAACCTGTGTCGGAGAGATCTCCTACTATGAATCTGTGGAACTGGGGAAGTGGTCCATGACCATGCATAAATGCATGAACCCATCCTCACATGCCCTTTGCCTTGTGCTTAGCATCGAAAAAGACAGTATACAAGAGAAAGCACTGACAGAGACACAGACAGAGAGACGGAGCGAGGATTAACTTCTCATCCAGTCTTTGCTGTTGCATAGATTGTAAGTAGCTTATTGCACAAAGCACCCTGCATGTAGCTAGTGTTGCACAATTTGTTTTGGCAGGTTTGTTTTCTGTGTGGGACATCACTGACCTCATGCAGGCAACTAAGAGCTTTGAGCCTAAAATAGTCAAAATGCATAAGCTGGCATTCTGTGCACTTCTAAGAATGCACCCAAAGGGCAAACAGTTTCCTTCCTTAGATATATTAGTCTTTAACCATTGATTTCTTTTTTTAAAAAAGGTAATTGGGTGCAGTAAAGATCATCTAGGTTGTGCTTTTCATCTATACTCAGAGTATCAAATCCTGAAGGCTGTGTACAAAAACCCTTAAACCGATGTAGAAAAAAACTTAAATTTGAGGTGGAGTTGTAAAGGGGAAAGTCTATAGCTCCAAAAAAACTTAAGGTCTGCTCTGTCAGCTGTTTTAAATCAAGGCTTAAAATTTGGTTTGCCTCTGCCTTTGATTAAGTAAAAATTGGGGCTATTCATTTATAGCTTGCGCTGCCGTGTTACTGTGTTGTAAATCCCACTGTCCTGTCCAGTTTGTCTTATTCAAATTCAACTTATTTTGTTTTCCATTTAGTTGTACTCTTTTAAAATCTCGTTTTAGTTTTACATTGCTTAGTTTCTTTTATATCCAAAGCACTGAATGTGTTGTGATGCCAACAAACAGGCGGCCACTGAGCACAGCTGGCATGTTCGGTGGGACAGGGATGGGTTAAAAGGTAAAATGAAAGAAGATAATTCAAAGCCAAAGGTACATAAGGCAGATACAGTCATGACACAAAATAAACCTATCCATCCAGTGACAGAAGATGCCTCGTTTATATAGATCACTTGATTTTAGGGTAATTTGGTTCAATTCCTTTTATCATAGACAGAAAATTACAGGACATTAATGCAAGATGTGGTAGTGATAAAAAGATTAAAATAAATGTGATGATTTTGGGGTTTTATGCTCCTTTTAAGTACTTAAACCAGGCTTTGTCTCAAACATATCCCTGAGCTGAAAACCAACATTCAAGTCAAATAATCATACAGTTCTTTTATCAAGCTTGGAATCTGGCACAAGGAAGTGTTTGTGTGTGTTTCTCTGTGTGAGTGGTGCTCTTACCTGGATACAACCAGGGGCAATATCAACATTTTCAGCATCCTCATTAGCAGCTCCCCAGGAAACTGGAAGTACTTCACCTCCTGCAAGTGGCAGAGAACAACATTATACACAAACTTATACAGCAGCAGAAAATTATTTTGCTGCAAGATTTGTGTTTGTATTGGTGACATACAGTACAGCACGTTAAATGTCATGGCACTGCAACCATGACTGTGTTATCACATTATTAGACAAACTGCAAGTATTGCAAAAATAATGTGCTTTGCTTAAACAGAGAGATGCCTCTGACTGTTTTTGTACTTTGTACTTTATGCATAAAACTGAAACATTAAAAGACTTGGACTGTGAGAATGTGAATGCTGCAGCTATGTTCTGACAGGGAAAGAAAAAAGCTGCTGTATTGTGTAATGGCTTTCAATATGCTGTAGACATTTAGGTTATTTTTACAAAAAGGACAAGTGACCTTGCTGCAAAACATGATAGATTTACTGAAGATGTGACCCCGACTTCCTCCTGTTCCAATGGTAAGTACAAAGACTCAAAGTGCTATTAGTTTTTATGATTTTGGTTTGCTGACATAGTCTCCCAGAGAACTTGGGAGGAAAGTTCCTTTCCTCTGGTGAACATGATATTGTGACTTTTAGCAGCTAAATAGCTACATATATTTTTTTAGGGGTTGGAGGAGACCAAAACATGGCACAGATTAGCTGTGTGATAACATGAGCTTATAATTTGTCTAGGAAAACAAACAAATAAGTATCCTAAAAACATTTGTTAATGCAGGTTTTAAGGTTTTCTAAAACAGGAACAAAATGGCTGGCAACACTTAATTGACACTTATCAAGCAGGTCAAACAGCACACTTAACTTTTTTAAGATTCTGACTAAACTGACTGTGAAATACTTTAAAAGGTTGAAGTTATACAGTGGAAAATATAGTTTGTTGTTGGTGATAAAAAAAATAAAGCATGCTATTATACAGCATAAGCCACAAGGTCATTGAAAAAACAAAGGTAAAAAGTTAGAAATAAAAAAAAGAAAAGAAATTTAAGTAGAGCACATCTGTGCAGTGAGATGATGGCACAATAAAAGCTTTTTGCTTCTGTTCTGGGAGACAGCTTTCAGGCCAAATGGCTGCGTGCACGCACACATGTGCATGTGCGTGTGTGACAGTCGGTGTATATTTATATATTTTGTGTTGTTGCATGTCAGTCTGTGAGCATAATATTCAGAGATTTTATGTGTATGTATATATGTGTAGGTTTGTGTTGTGTGTGTGCAAAAAGGACAAGTACAGCTGCCACTAATCCTGGGCATCTGCTAACAGTGGAACAAACACACTGTTTCTGCTGGACATTTGGCATACTCTCTCTCTCTCACACACACACACACACACACACACACACACACACACACACACACACATACACTGTTTTTATTTCATGTGGGGACTTTATATTGACTTACATTCATTTTCTATAGACTTATCCTAACCTTAACTATAACCACTGCTTGCCTGAGGAAGCCCGAGTCCCCACAATGTGAGTGTATTAACAGGTTTCCGTCCCCTAAATGTAAATAAAAGAAATATAAAGGCACCATATACCATAGTTTAGTGCTGTTATATTCATATTTTGATTGTGCTATGATCAATAAGTCCTGAAATCAGTTTGGACTGTGATGCTTAGTAGAAACAGACTGAAATAATACACTGAGCTGTGAGCAGCAGGGACACTGGTCATTTAATAAACAATCCACACTTCAGTATTTGTGTGCTGTTAGTGTTCAGAGGGCATGGCTTTTAATTAAAATGATGATTTTAATACCATTGCTTTTCAGTAAACATTTAGTCCACCATTTTGCTCGTTATTTGTCAGTTACTGTGATGCTGCCTCAAGGTGTTATCTACAAGACTTTGAATTAATTGTGTATGAACTGAGCTCTATCAACAAATTTAGCATTTATGGTATAAATCTATCATTTATGACATAATTTCTTCTACTGAGAACGGAGTTAAAAGGAGGAAGAGTTTTTGATGATTTGTGCCAGAAATTCCAAGTAATACTTAACTTTTTGTTGCATCATTTCTACTCAGTTGTACTGTCTCTGTCAGTAAAAGTAAAAAGTGGCAAAAATCTGCACCTTAAACCATCATACAGAAGCACTTTTTGGTTGTTTGGGCATATTAGACATAGAAATTCTCTCTAAATCAAACATATTTTATGAATGATATGTATGTTATAAATGCAAGCACGCACAAATAACTGAACTCTGTGGCTTTCACCATCATGACTGCAGCATGAGCTTGACTGTCTTCACCTTTACCCTTCCAGTCTATGCTATCATTGTCACTGACAGCAACAAGGATGCATGCTTCCACATGCAGCTGAACTATCTAGTTGTCCTATGTGCAGTTATTTAAATTATTTCCATGTGTAACATATAGTAAAAGCAAACAAACAAAAGACCTACATTTTGGGAGCCAATCTGTGTTGTGGGCATTCCTCACTTTTATAGTGAATATAAATTGTTCACCTTAGGATGGTTGAGCGGATCTCCCCTGAACAGCTGCAGCAATGCTCTGCTGAGGAAGCTGACTGTATCTGTTCTAGAGACACTGAAAAGACACTTTTTTCCTTACTGAAATCCACAATCTTCATAAT